TGAGCAGGGAGCGCGATGCGGGACTCGATCCTGGGACTCCAGGATCATGACCTGAGCCGAAGGCAGTTGCTTAACCAACTGAGCCACCCAGGCGCCCCAACTTTCAGTTTATTTTTTTGTAATCACTGACCAAGATGCCAAAGCTCTGCTTTTTTTGGTGATTTGATGTGTAAGCTTTTGAGAGCATGGAAACTGGGTCAAAAGTTTAAAATTCCACATTTCTTTAGCACCTACTCTGGGCAAGGCACTCTTTCAGATGTTAGGGCACAAATATAAATAAAAATAGTATGTTGGGCTTTTCATATACTTTACAATCTAGTAGGAAGGACTATGAAGACATAGATCATTATAATCCCGCAATGTAATTGTTCTGATAGATCTACATCCCAGGCGCCAAGGAAGCACTGAAGGGCACCAGATGATCTAACCCTTGCCTACCTCCCCAGCATCGTCTGCAGCCATTCTTCTACCTGCTTCCTATCCCCTCATCACACCTACATGACTAAAAGGCCAGGCTTTCTGTCATCTCCACTGACCTTGCACTTACACTTCTCTCAGCCTAGGAGGGTTTCTCTACCTGCCACATACTTGTTCCTCAAAAATCAAATTAAATATTATCTCCATCCCTACACCACAGGCTATAATACAAGTCCTTCGTTTATGTCCTCAGAGTATGTATTGCACACAACTGTTCTGATGGTAAAGCATGCACCCCACTGGGGTCTCACTCAATCCAATGCAAAAAACATTTGTTGAGAGTCTGCTGTGTACCAGGTACTTCAGATGCAAAAATTAAAGAAATATTATCCATAACCTCAAGGAGTTCACAAGAGAGATAATCAGGCCAACAGATAACTCCAGATTATAGATGGTACGATGTACATAGGGAACATAGAGAAGTGATTTGTTAGTTATCTCTATCAGTTTAGGAGTTAAAGAATGCTTCCTAAAAGATGAGTCATCTGATTTTGTTTTTGAAAGAAAACTAGGAGTTCAACAGGTATTGTGGAGGAGCACTTCTAACACAGAGATTATTTATGTACTATTCTGCCCATAAACTTCAATATTTGTGAAGGAAGAGGCTATGTGTTTCATTTACATATCCACAACCCTCACCACTATACCTGGAGCCTAATAAGAATAATAAATATCTGCTAAAGGTTGTTGAATTAATCTGACTGCACAAACGCTACCTAAACAATAGGGCAAAAAATACTCAGTGCCCAAACTTGAAATTAGGTTTCAATCACCCTGTGCATAGGAGTGACCTGTACTGCTTCTTGATTAGGTAATCAGTGTTGCTTTTTTGTGAACATAGTAATAATTTGGGCAGTAACGCTGTTTTTGCCCAATCTTGATGTACCAGACTCACTCTGCATCTTCACCAAAAATGCAATGTCAAGGGCTGTTTGGGTCTGTCAATAGTCATATTTCTTTTCAAAGAAGCAAGGAGTATCTCCACCTTTATTACCAGATGAAATAATGATATTGCATTTGAAATAATGATAGCTGAGTGTATAATTAATATGCCAATAAAATCAATTCTTAGGCCACTATAAATTCAGTAAAATTGAACAAATACATACTGAGCAAGTTAATCAAATAGCATGACTCTGCATGGAGTGTCCAAGCCAATGGAAAATAGATACCTGAGAAACACCTGAACCGCTCTCCACATCCCTCTTCTGTCGGACATCCTACTATAGGTTCACACGATTGTGTTTCAAATGCACTTCCAACGCAAGGATGGCCCCCATACTGCCCATAAACAGCAACTGACCGCCTGCGAGTCTAAACACAAAACAGGTAATGCTTTTTGACATGTCCTTTCCTTTATCTGAGAAACAAAATCTAAGAGACATTAATACAATTGAAGAATCAGTGTTCAGGAAATTGTTCTGGGGGGCAGATGTAAAACCTCCTAGTCCAAAGATGAAGCTACCTCTGCAGTGGAATTCTACTAGACAATCAAAATCAATGGCCTCTGAAATGGGAAATATGTCAAAGGCAAATCTCTGGGAAAGAAAGTATGGGAAAAATAGAGGAACTCATCAAGCTACTTGAGAAACAAATAATTCATTCTAAAATTCACTTAATCAATATGAAGACACGTATCTAATATTTAAACAAAAAGAGGTCCACAAAATCCTTTTCCCTCCCAACAGCAATCAAATGCATCGTGTAAGCCTCTTCCTGTACTCACCTTTTCCCTATTAAAAAAAAAATAAACAAAATCTGACCTTCCAGAGAATTTAAGCCTTGAGCAAATACCAACAGGGAAGACAGGATATACAAACTGATGTGGGGCCAGGAGTGGAACAGTCAAGAAAGAATTCTTGAGATGTTTTTGGTGCAAAAAGGTGCTTTTATTATAGCGCAGGGACAGGGGCCCATGGGCAGAAGGAGCTGTACTTTTGCTCTATGAAGCTGGTGGTTATATACTTAGTCTCAAGGGGGAGGAGACGTGCAGGGAGTATCAGATCATAAATGTCTTTTTCGAATTTCTACTCATAAAATTACTTTTGCAGGATCTCTCTGGTGCTTATCATTGGGCTCAGTATTAACTATCAGCGAGATGAACAGGCAGTCATGAGACCCTCAGTATCTGATCCTTGTGGGAACTATGCAGGCTATAGGTCAGGCTTCTGGGCTAACTGTGAACACACTTCTGCTTCTATCCTTCATCACAAGCCAAAGTTGAATCTTTTCATCCATCCTAAGTTGGGTTAGAAGTGGGGATTCTTTCGGACATAGGGTCGCAGTAGTGTAATTTACTCTGTGAGCAGCTTTGTCAGCCTGGGCCTGACACTGGCACCTTCCATTGTGTCTAAGCATAGGAGCTGTGGAGGAACAGGAGTGGGGAATGGGACTCAGTACAGTTCCTTGATAAGTTTTTAGTCTCTCTGTTTAATTGATGATGACACCTCTCACATGTGTCTTATTAAATTGTCCTTTTCTGAAGTTCCAAAGCACAGATTGTGTTGTTTGTCTAAAGAGTGCTTCCCTCTCTCTGGATATCTCTCTTGATAGCTGCCCACTGCAAACAGCCAAATTCTCACCTGACAAATTCTGATCTTATGACCCTATTTTCATCCTCACTTGTCTCTTTCTGGATGAAAATTTTGTCGTTATAACCTAGGGACGTAATCATTGCATGATGACCTTCATGCAAAGAAAAAAATTGCTAATATGAAAAATACCTTCCATCTCTTTCTTTTTAGCATTCCTTCTTAACTTGTTTTTAAATTATAAAAATGTTTTCTGTAGTTGGTGTTTGACTTTCGCCTTGTTATTCATGTAATCAGAGTAGTCATCTATTTCCCCAAAGCCAAATTCTGCATTTGTGTAACTTGCTTTGTAAATACCACTCATGTAGGTACTAAATGCTTGATGAAAATGATGATCATGATGATGCTTCAAAACAGAAATTATCTTCTGTAATATGGTTCTGTTTTCTTAATAATTAAAAAGTGGTTTTTAAATACACATTTTTATTCAAGCTGAACCACCTTTAAAATATTTTGCAAATATAGAATCATGTTGTATACCTGAAATTAAAATAATGTCATGTGCTAATTATATTTCAATAAAAACATACTTAATCATTCAAATGTTTAGAACCTTTAAAACAAGCATTATATTTTTGGAATTTATCCTGAGAAAATTATCAGAACAGAGGACAGATTTCTATGTACAAAAATGTTCACTGAAGTTTTATTTATAATAACAAAAATGTACATATCCTAAATCTCAAACAATAGGAAAGTGGATAAATAAGATCGGTATATGCATATAATGGAAAATAATAGAGCTGTTAAAATTCATGCCAAAAGTATAATTTTAAAATAGTAGAGGGGTGCCTTGGTGGCTCAGTTGGTTAAGCGCCCGATCTTGCTCTCAGCTCAGGTCTTGATCTCACGGTTGTGAGTTCAAACCCCATGTTGGGCTCCATGCTGGGCGCAGAGGCTACTTACAAAAAAAAAACAAAAACAAAAAAACAGTAGGATATAGGGACCCCTGGCTGGGTCAGTTGGTTGAACATGTGACTCCTGATCTTGGGGTCATGAGTTCAAACCCTACGTGTGGCATGGAGTTTACTTAAAAAAATTTTTTTTAAATAAACAAAAAAAAATTTTTAATAGTGGAATATAAAACTTAATCAAACAATTCTATTTTTAAAAATTATAAACACACAGAGAAGATAAATTGAAAAAATAAATACCAAATGATGGTATATTGGTTTCTTTTAAATGGTGGAATTATAAGTAGCATCTTCTTTATATATACTTTCCCATGTTTTCTCCAATGAATAACTTATAATAAAGGGAATAAAACAGACACTTTTAGAAGTACTCTATTATCTCCAGATCAAGTCCAGCATTTTATTTGTATTACTTAGAAATTAAACTTTAAAAAGTTTAAAAATGCAGAGGGGCCTAGCTGGCTCAGTCAGTGGAGCAGGCAACTTTTCATCTCCAGGTAGTGGGTTCGAGGCCCACGTTGGGTGTAGACATTACTTAAAAGTAAAATCTTAAAAAAAAAAAAAAAAAGTGCAAAATGTTTCACTCTTTGTGGTCATTCACTGTTTGTGAGGTAAAACAAAGCAGCCATTTTGTACTTGCTAGTGTTAGTTTTAAATAAGAAGAAAAGCTGAACCCAGTAGTGAGATTTTGAACTACCTACTAACTTCATTTCATGCTCTTCTATTTCTCTAATAGTTAAAGAGTTAGTGAATTGCTTTATCCTATGTATGTTTCTAGGCTCTAATGTAAGATTTAGAAAAGTCCTGCAAGAAAAATAAGAATGCAGGAATTACTTTATTACATTATTAATTACTAAAGCCATACTTTTCTCCCTTTAAATTAATAATTATATTAAGAAACAAAAAATAACATGTCAAAAGCTAATGTCATTTGTCTATACATCAGCTATTTCAATATAAACAATATATACAATAAATAAAGAATAAGAGCAAAGTTTTTTTTTTGTTTTTTTTGTTTTGTTTTTTTTTTTTTTAAAGATTTTATTTATTTGACAGAGAGAGACACAGTGAGAGCAGGATCACAAGCAGGGGGAGAGGGAGAGGGAGAAACAGGCTTCCCGCGGAGCTGGGAGCCCGACACGGGGCTCGATCCCAGGATCCTGGGATCATGACCTGAGCCGAAGGCAGACGCTTAACGACTGAGCCACCCAGGCGCCCCAAGAGCAAAGTTTTTGTATGGTCCTACCTGAGTCTTCGTACAACCATTGCATTCTGACCACGATCCATAGGAATCCCACTGGCAAGTGACTGGAGTGGAGGCTCTGTCAAATTGTTATAAATCAGATAGAAAGATAAAGAGAGGGGAAACACAAAGAATGGTCAAAAATAGTAAAAAAAAAAAAAAAAATCCTTCACAATTTCGTAAGAGGCACCAAAAGCATCCCAAGACATATAAAAATATATGGGGAAGGGACCAGCTTTTTTAGAGATTAACATTTATTAAGCATCTATAATGTACCAGACACTATTTAGACACCTGAGCTGTAGACACAATGAGAGATAGGTCACTGACTATGGATAGAGGAGAGGACAAAGATGCAGAGGTATAAACAAATAATCCTAATACGATCATACAATATATCTAATTTGATCAATTTCATAACAGAAATGTGTCCGGTACAATGTGTTGTGGAAACATAGATGAGGGAGCGTTCACATTTGGGAGGGTAGGTGAGAACATATAGGAGGAAGGTATTCTGGCCTTTGAGAGGATTCTGAATAATGAATGGAAGAGTTATACAGAAACTCTTCACTGGAAGAGAAAAAGCTCTAAAAAGACCCTATGAGAAGTGAGAAACTAAAAACTGGCCAAGACTAAAGGGACAGAAATTTATTTTTAGATATTCCCCCGTTCATTTAGGCTACTTCTCAAGAACACACCCAAGTAGGGTCAATTTGAGTTTAAACAACTCCACTCCACTAAAATACATGAAAAATGGAGAGTCGGTTCTCATGTGATGCTTAACTCCAGCTTTGTCAAGAAGATCACACAGCTTGGCCTAGCCCAAAAGCACATTTTACAAGGGGTAAAGGAACTCAGACTCCTGATTCCTGGATTTCGAGCACATTCCTAGCCTTGGAGACATCTGGAGTCAAGGCGATTTGTGCTCACCTTAAGTCTGTGAGGTGACCCTGAAAGTAAGGTGTCCCCCCTGTAGTGTGTGTCCCTCACATGCTTTTATGGAGCCAAGCTTGCTAATCTGTCGTTGTGACATGGCAACAATGATCCAAATTCCTCAGTGTTTGTGACCTTTGAACAATCGGAACTTGCTATTTTTCTATGTTGCGTCCCAGGGACAGACAGAAGCCTTCCCCAAACACCGAGGGTTAGGAAGGGGAGCTAGCTTGGCCTTCTCTCGTCTGTGCTCCCACAGTAGGGCATGCAGGCCTCTTCCAGAAATCTTAGCACATCTGTACTGAAATTGACTATTTCAAGATCTGAATCATCCAGTGGACTCTCAGTACTGTGTTGGTCCGCTTTGCATCCCCGTCACTAGATCAGCTCCTGGCACATATTCTGATAGCTCGATAAAGTGAACTGACCTGGTCCTATCCCATCCAACCGACAGTGAGAGCAAAACAAGGCCATGGATAAATGAGGTTGGCTTTTTTCCAGGTCTCAAGAGTCAATAAACCTAATTTCTTAAAAAAAAAAAAAAAACAACAACTCTCAACCAGATGGGAACTACACTTGCGGTGAGCATAGCATAACGTATAAACTTGTCAAATCACTATGTTGTACAACGTAAACTAATGTAACATTGTGTATCAACTATATTTCAATTAAGAAAAAAAAAAACCTCTCAACCTTTAAAATCCAAAGAATGTTTTGCAATGACTACATTCAAAAATCAAATTCTGCTCTAAGATACGTCAATTCTAAGGTTGGTGTAATAATCTGAATTGCAGGGAAAATCACGGTACTAGGACAAGAAGAAAACCTTTAGGTATTTTTAGCCTTCAGGTTTCTTCCTTACGGGAAAAAATAAAGTAAAATAAGAATAAGAATAAAACAAGCTTTCGCTATCATTGCCTTTTCTCAAAGTGTGGAAAGATAAAGTATTGAAGGGATAAAGATGTTCAGGCTGCAATGTAAAAATCAGGTCATGTATTAAAGATCTTCCTAAAAATAAAAAAACAATTTTTAATGATTTCCAACACAATCCCAAAAAAACTCTCACCTTGAAAAAACTTGGAACTCTCCTGTAAATCCCACCAAGATGAATAAAGTTATTACCTGGGGATGGCAAGGGAGGGAGGAATAAAACATTAGTTTGCATTTCTTTAATGAGTTGAAAGCGAATACATTTGTACAAGTCAAGATTTTTGAGTTGGGAATATAAAGAAGGAAGGAACCATGGCCAGGCTCAACGACTCTGCTTGTCCTTTAAATTTCCATTCTAAATCAAAGTTTAATACAGTTCTGTTGAACTCATCTCCTACTATTCATTTTGGTAAAGACAACTAGGGGCAGGGGAATGTCGTGGCCAAACAAATAGAAAACTTAACTCATTAGAGCATTTCTTTAGGGATCTTTTAATTCCTTTCTCCATTCTCCTTCGTTCTAACCTCAACACTCATTAAGGACACCCGGAGGGGAGGAAGCCTCGAAGAAAGACCAGCCAAGAATAAGTAGTTAGACAGGAAATAAGCTTTATAAATGAAAAGTTAACCAAAGTTGAAGCACATCTCTAGCCAGAGGGGCGGTGATGCTCACCATGACCCTTAGTTCTGTGGCTGCCTCAGGTGTAAAACACCTCCAAGGCCTTTTGTAATCTTCTTTATGTGATAGCACCAGCCTAAATAGTGAAGATCTGGCAGGTCACAAAACTGTATGTAAAATAGGGTTACATTTTGCTTGAAAAATCAAACATGTATTAAAAACAAATCTAGAAAGAAATATAGTAAAGAGTAATCATTTATGGAGCGCCTGGGTGGCTCAGTCATTAAGCGTCTGCCTTCGGGTCAGGTCATGATCCCAGGGTCCTGGGATCAAG